ATATATATATATATATATAATAAAGAGCTAAGGAGAACACTCAGTTATTAAGCATTATTTGGTTGCTCTCTGCTGGCCACTCTTACGCAGTAGCCACATTTGGTTCCCACCAGACATTTGATGGATAACAACCATATGTAACTTCAGTTCTAGGGGATCTGATGCCCTATTCTGCTCTCTGTAGGTATTGCATGATACAGGTGCACCCATACTCAGAAATAGAAATAAATTACTAATTAATTCAAAGATAAATAATAACAAAAATAAAGATGTATTATATTGATATCCCTGATGCATACCTGGGAAATTTCAACTAGAAATAAATATAATAGTAGTAATTATAATAATAGGGAAGATTAAGGCATTGTAACTCATAGGTACATCCATAGGAGTATCAATCAAAGTAATAGAGATGAATTGTGTCATAAATTCAAGTTTTATTAAGATTTTAAGGCTGTTATTTATAAGGAAATGTAGATGTTATCAAAGGAAAAATATAAAATAATTACCTTTTAATGTTTTGGAAATGTTATAATATACATATTAGTTTGTCTCCATAAATATAAAAATAACACAAGTGAATATACATAAACAAGAGAGATTACAATAAAAGTTTTAAAATCTAAAAAATATAAACATTTAGATGTAAAATGAGTCCCGTCCACTTTATGAAAAACAATTTAGGTCTTTGAAAAGGAACAAGGATGTTGGGAGCTATTATTACTATGGGAACAGCCATTGCTGCATTAGGCTGTGGCAGCTTGCCTTGACTTAAGCATTGGAGAAAGAATGCTTCCACCATGGGAGTTTCCCTGCTCTCTGCTTCTGTGGTCTGCGTTGACAGGCTGTGCTTCCCTGATTAACTGGCAGTCTTGGAAACATAACCAAAGAGTTCTGTTTCAGTTTATGGGCACCGGAGTTTCTCAGCACCCTTAGCTTGGTTTCTATATAGAAATAATGAATTATAGTAGTTGCTAAGAGTAATCACAAACACTACACCTTATATCTGAGATATTATAAATATTATGCAGCTGAACCTTGGATACTGTAAATGTTGTGTGAGTTTCGGTTGGTAAAGTAATGTATTCTTGGTAGTAACGTAATGTATCCTTGGTTATTCCTTGGTTACTTTCTGTTTAGTGACGTATCCTTAGTTATTCCTTGGTTACTCCAGATCTGATTCCTATATAAGCTTGCTTTAGTTCACAATAAACATGCACTGGCACATAGACCTCTGCATCTCCTGTGTCCTGATTTCTATATGTTGGGGTCCCCAAGCCCTTTAGGCTTGGAGTGTGGTCACTGTTCCATGACACAGGAGATGAGGGACATTCATCCAAATGTCATATCATGAAGTGGTAACTATTTGCATTGCATTGAATGACTTTTTGAACACTTACTTGTTTCTAAAGGATAAAGCCAATGACATGGAAAGAAAAAACCACACAAAAACATCACAGTTCCTTCTTCTTGGCCTCTCAGAAGATCCAGAGCTGCAGCCCATCCTCTTTGGACTGTTTCTGTCCATGTACCTAATCACAATGCTTGGGAACCTGCTCATCATTCTGGCTGTCACCACTGATTCCCACCTCCACACCCCCATGTACTTTTTTCTCTGTAACCTGTCCTTTGTGGATGTCTGTTTCATCTCCACAATAGTCCCAAAGATGCTGATGAACATCCAGGCACAAGACAAAAGTATCTCCTACAAAGGATGCCTTACTCAGGTGTATTTTTTTATGATTTTTGCTGGGATGGATAATTTTCTACTGACTATGATGGCTTTTGACCGCTTTGTGGCTATCTGTCACCCTCTCAACTACACTGTGTTCATGAACCCTCAATTCTGCGGCCTCCTGGTTCTGATATCATGGATGATTATATTCTGTAGCTCCATGATTCATATTCTACTAATGATGAAACTGACCTTCTCTACCAGGACTGAAATCCCACATTTCTTTTGTGAATTAGCTCAGGTTATAAAAGTTTCCAGTTCTGACAACCTCATCAATATCATCGTCCTATATGTCATGACTGCTGTGGTAGTTGTGTTTCCTGCCACTGGCATCCTCTACTCTTATTTTCAAATTCTCTCCACCTTATTCAGAATGTCTTCTGTAGCAAGCAAGTATAAGGCCTTTTCCACCTGTGGGTCTCACCTCTGTGTGGTTTCCTTGTTCTATGGAACAGCACTTGGTGTTTACCTTAGTTATGCAGTGGCCACTTCTTCCCAGAATAGTGCAATTTCTTCAGTAATGTACACTGTGGTCACACCAATGTTGAACCCATTCATCTACAGTCTGAGGAACAAGGATGTGAAGGGGGCCCTGCAAAGACTCTTCAAAAAGGCACCTAGTTTTCCTTCATGAAACACTAACAATATTAAGTTGATATTGTAATCATGTGCTGTTATTTTCATATCTTACTTTCACCCTTAAGTGTTATGTTTTATGTTGTCCTTTAGTGAGTTACTTGTGACTTTTACTTATAGGAAATTATATTTCTTTCTCCTCGGATACTTCTTTAGAAATTTATTTTAAGTTTTTATTACACATGAGCAGATTTTAAATAAACTCTCACCAGTAAAGCTTCCTCATACAACAGAGTGAGATGCATACAGCAGACCGCAACTGGCCAAGTTTTAAAGAATAAGAGACTGAAGCATGTAAGGCTATGACTCCTGTATAGAACCTCATCCATCCCTGGCTCAGGGACTATTGAGGAACCGAGAGTGGAAAGATTGTAGGAGCCAGTGCTATTTCATGAACACAGGGAAGCAGAGGCTTTCAGGCTACTGGAAGTTTGCACATGAGAACTTATGGCAATGGTGGCATCGAGCACAAGATCCATGCAGACTCAATTAAACAAGGGCCCAAAGGGGAAGAGAGAAATGGGTGGCAGAAAGGCCCTAGACTGAGAACTATTGAAGACTGATTGCTGCTGGGTGAGGGAGAGTATGCTTTACGTACGATCTCTAGATGGGCTGACTAGACTCCAGTGGATGAATTTACAATGAAGGCCATTTGGGTACAAATGCTTGAATGGATAGTACTTAGCATTTATGGCAGAATATATGAGGTCCACTGGGGCTTGCGGGAGGCATGAATGGAGGAGGGGTCCAAATTTGTTTAAGAAACTATATGAAAATACAAAAACTCAATAAAAATATTTATATAAAAATTAATGCATTTATTATTCTAATGTTTTAATGAGTTTACAGAAATTATAATATTAAATGGGAATGTTGTTCACTGTAAGATGCTGAAGTTCCCATTTAGTGCTAAGTACTTTGCAGTCTCTTATTATCTGTATGTTAACCAGTTATGGTTCTTTCTGTTAATCACCACATAATGCAAGAAGAAGCTTCTCTATTGAGGAATGAGAGATGCGCTAATCTATGGATGCAATAGTAAATCATTAAGAGTCAGTTTAATGTATCTCTATTTATCAGAATAACACCTATATCACACCCTCTTCTCCAAAGGATCATGGATCACTGCCGAAGAGGTGGCAGAAATATTGTAAGAGCTGCAAGTTGTGGATGAGTTCATGAAAACTGTGTTGTCTGGATACAACACATGTGATAGCAGACACAAGACCTGTGTGAGCCTGATCCAGACAAAAACCTAGAACGGACGGGAGAGATGGGCAAGAAGCACCATCCCTAGCTGAGGATTTAGTGGCTGCTGGACTAGAGAGTCAGTTTACTTTTAAAAAATGTGACAGTAATCTCAGCACTGAGGAGGCAGAAGTAAATTTATGTTTGTGAGATCAAGAACAGGTCTACACAGTGAGTTATAGGAAAACTGTCTACAGGGAGGCTTTGCCTCAAAAAACAAATATAATACTGTGTAGGTTGACCAGGCTTCAAGGAATGAACTCCAAGCAAAAGAACTTGTGGAACACAGAGCAGACTCTATAGACCTCGAAAGGGTAAAGTAATAATAGAGGACATGGTGTCACTGTGATAAGTTGGGGGTGGAGAAGGGGAAGGTGTCTGAATATTATCAAAATATACTATATGCTAGTCTCAAACAATCAATAAATACATAAAAAGAATCAAACAACAGAAGAAAAGGAAAGAAACTGATGAGCTGCTGTGTAAATCACAGTGCTGCCATTTGCATACATTGCTTTGAATTTCTCTAAGAAGCAGAAAAAAGAAACTGAAGGGATACAGAGTCTTCAGTGGATAAGAGCACTGGCTGCTCTTGCAGAATACCTGGATTCAGTTCCCAGCACCTAGATGGTGTTTAACAGTCATCTATAACCCCAGTTCTGTAGGATCCCACACCCTCTTCTGGCCTCTGGGGGCCATTGCACACACATGGTACACATACATACATGAAGGCAAAGCACTTATGCATATAAAAATTGGTGTCACATGCCTTTAATTCTAGCTCTCAGGAGATAGAGGCAGATGGATCTCTGTGAAAGCAAGTATATCCTGGTCTACATAGCAAGTTACAGGCCAGCTGGGTCCCAAACCAAAAACCAAACCAAAAAAAAAAAAATTCACACATATAAAAATCAATCTTTTTTTAAAAAAAACAAAAACAAATTACAATGAGCACAATAAGGCCATAAAGCTCCTGCCATCATGCCCTCTGCTATCAACAAGTTTTCAGCCTTGAAGTGCAGAGAGCCTGGGATTTAAGCTAAAAAGGCAGTCTCCACAAAAGTACACAGTTGGGAAGGCTGCTTGCCCTGATATTACTACACTAGACTGCTGAGGCCAAGAAAGATTTGGCCCATAATTAGTACAACTGGACACTTTAAAATAAATCGATGGGAAGTCTGCCTCATAAAAAATTTTTAAGATGGCTCAGGGTTTAAGAGCACTGGCTACTCTTGTAAAGAACCCAGATTTGGTTCCCAGCATACAAATGATGGCTAAAAACCATCCATAACAGCAGTTCCAGGGTATCTAATGCCTTCTTCTGGCCTCCATGGACATTGCACACATGGATGCTCTTACATGCAGGCAAAACACTTGTATATATAAAATAAAAATAAGAAATAAATAAATTTTAACTTGAAGGAATGCAGAAGTGCAGGAGAATTTCCTATTAAAGAACCTTAAAATGGGTAGCAGTGATGGTGCACAATCTGAGCAAGGTATGATACATATAAATAACCTATTATGTAAATCATTAATAAACAAACTAAAAAAAAACTAAATAAAAGGAAAAATGCTTTTGTTGTCTTTGTTGAGACAGGGTTTCCCTGTAGCTCCAGCTGTCCTGGAACTCACTAGGTAGACCAGGTTGGCCTTGAACTCACAGATATCCACCTGCCTCTGCCTCCCAACATGCTGGGATTAAAGGCATGTGCCACCATGTCCAGCTAGGATAAATGCTTTAAAAACAAAAAGATGCTAAAGTTCTTATTTTCCCATAAAGAATTGGAATGAAATCATAAAATACTAAATGAAAAATCTTTAACATAGTAAAGCTGTACCCATTGCTTTAAATGTATATGCTTATTTAATCCACAAAATTTTCTTTGCTTTCTCTTAAGTCTCTAATTTCAAATGTATTAGGCTGAAATTATGATGCATAATATTCTGGAAACCGACAGTGAATTCACAGGTCTGTCTTTGCAGCCCTTCTTTCATAAGAACAGTTATTAAATCTTTATTTTCAGGAGTTGTAGAGGTGACTCAGCTATTAAAAGTACTGGTTACTCTTGCAGATGACTTTGGTTTGATTCCCAGAAACACATGGCAGCTAACAACATCTTATAACTCCAGTTCTATGGTATTTGATGCCGTCTTCTGGCTTCCATGAGCATTGCATAGCATGGATGCACTTAGATACATTCAGGCAAAACCAATTATACACATAAAATTAAAAATAATTTTAATATATTCAACATCAAAGTTGGAATGTCTTTAAATACTGATGTGCTCATAAGATTCCTAGTGACATTTGCCTAGGATCACTAAGAGACATTGCTTCATGCTTTACAATATTCTTTGCTTTTCCTTTATTCATTCTTTTCTTCTCTCACCCATTTCCACCTCCTTTACTCAATTTACATTCCCCCTTTTGTGAAATATTGAATATCTGTCCTCTTTTGCATGGTTGATTAATTTTTCATGCATTATAGATAATATATAGATTCATACATGTAGTAGCTTATGATAGGATTTTGGTTTAAATATACAGTTTACACACATACACACAATTTGAACTAATTCATGCAATTTTTAGGGAAATGGATGGAACTGGAGATCATCATGTTAAGAAAAACAGATATTAGAATTTTTCTTTAATATGAAGAATCAAGACGTTAAAGTAATGATAGAACTAGACTGGGGTGATACAGGAAGCATTAGACACCAGAGAGGGAAAAAACAGGAGTCAGTAAGGGAGGCTATGAAAAGTGTATTTATGCCATAATTATGCTTATATTCAATAAATACAAGAAAAGTATAAGTAAAATTTTGAGGGTCATGTAACCCTCAAAACAATAGAAATATAAAATCACAACCTATTAAGAAAGAGGAAAACTATAATATATGTAAAATACATACATATCAAAGCTATGGTAATAGTTAATATATGCACTGGATGCTTGTGCACCAAGTCTCATATTGGAAATACTTCTGGATATAAAGGGACAAATACAGTAAGAGTATGATTTTGGAAACTCATCCTCATCAGAAAAACATTGAAATACATTTTTGGAAATAAATCATAAATCAAGCAGTCTTTTTAATGTTTTGTTGGTGAGAAACTCATACATTCACACAAGGAACTATAGTCATAGCTACCCTCCATTTTGTTCCTGTGAGTCATTCATATCCTATCCCCTCCAACACACCAAACTCCTACCTTAAAGTGTTTTGTTTTGTTTTTGATGATCTCTTTGGTGTTGCCCAGGTGTCCATGAGTGTGGCAAAATCGATTGAAGTATGGGAAATCTACCTGTGAAAATCTATTCAAAAAAGAATAATTTTCATCCCTTCACAACTATCCACAGAAAATAAATCCTCAGTAAGAGTCTACCCTAACTATACCAGGTATTTTTTCTTCTATACAACTTTTTTTGAATTTTTGTTCATTTACATAATACATCTAAATTATATTTTGACTCCCACTGCTCTATTCACCATGTAAAACCTTCTCACTGGATTTTATGAATTTTGTCATATATGTTAAGGCCTATCGAGTCAACTATGCCAGATTTTTGACTGTCTTGATTTTGTATATGTCTTATGTAGGTAACTTAAATGGCTATATCTGTGACTGTTATAGCTGTGTCATTTCAAGAAGACATCCTTTCCCAATACTTCTCCACAACCTATGGTCTTAAATTCTTTCACCTCCTTTTTCTTTATGTTCCCTGAGCCTTGGTGGGAAAG